GACAAAAAGTGAAAAATATCTACATGTCCAACACTAAGAGAAACTGATGACATGATTTAAATTTGAGGCAGTAGTCACCTAAAAAGAAAATGTGACGTCACTTAGGAAGAGGTTAGTCTTAAAAAGCTTTACAATAAATTATCCCTAAAGTGCATTTTTAAAAAATCATAAAACTTTCCTTAAAATTCACATGAGTAAGACCCAATATTCATGTTGGCTGCTAAATTGCATAGTTTAATATATAGCAAATTCTGAAGTAGTTAGGCCTTTCGTAATGCTAACAAAGAATCCATCCTTAAGGAGAGTTGTGGATGGCTAGTAATGATCAAGGGAGAAGAGTCATTAGGATAATGTAATTCTTGTGGAAAAATTAATTGAATTTCATCCATTATTTCCCAGCTACAGCTAGTATATTTAAAATTAAATTACACAGGACATAACCTGTCTGCCTGGGTTTCTCTAAGTAAATATCAATACTTTTTGGGGTTTGGAAAATAAAATTGTAGTGAAAAATGGAACACAGCCATAACAGATACATGTCTGTATTAGTTTTTCAGTATTGAATTACAGATGTGGAGAGAAGTAAATCCAGAGTATTATTTCCTCTCCTTCAACCCCCCTCATTCTTAAGTATTTTCATCACCTTCTGCCTGACTTTAGAAGAAAATAGCATTTCAAAAATAAACAGCTTTTTTAAACACATATACAGGCAGTTGTAGCAGAGTTCCTTAAAAACATCAGTCATTATCAAGGTCAAGTAGGCAGGTCATTCTCTGAGAAAATTGTTCAGTCACGGCTTGTTTGTATTTGAAGAAAGCACAAGGAGTCAGCTTCTAAATTCAACTCAAATTTTTTCATTGGCAGATCAAAATCACTGGGGAATTTATGTCCATAGGCATAGCAAGGAGAGATACAGCATCTCTGTTGGGAACTTGGTTTTATACCTTTCCAGCCTTATGGATTTTTACAGAATTTATTTTTATTTTATTTTTTTATTATTTTTTTAGAATTCAATCTAAAACTTTGGTTTTTTTCTCTTAGCTTGTTCACAAGTACATTCAAGCTATTGGAGAGTACTTAAAGATCGCATTCCCAAGGTACCCTCTGATTTTCCCTCTGGCCTGGACTATGGACAGAAGTCAGTGATTTTTGATCCATTAATAATAACAAAAGGGGGGTTTTCTGGATTTCAGAATTAGCTCGTAAATCTGCTAGGAATCTTACTCCATGTTTATAATGGACCCACCAGAACAGATATTCTTTGGTGCAAATGAGACTGACATTTAGGTCAGATATTATCCACGTTCACCTAAGTTTATAAATGTGCCAATGCAGTCTGAGTTAGAAGTGAAAGGATAATGCAGGGGTTTGCTCACTAAATGTGACACTGCAATATGGCAGAAGACATCATCTCTAGAAAGAAAAAAAAACCAACAAACTGACATTTTCTCCATTCTCCTTTATTAAAAAAAGAATGCTGGACTCGCACGTGAAAGCCTGAGAAGGGACTAGTTTGCCCGGAAGCTTGGGATTTTTGCCTGCCATGCCAGTTGTTTTAATAAAGCAGTTTACTTCAAATTTCACCTGCTTCAGATTAAAAAAGATATTTCTGCCATGTTAATCCCACTCTTGTTTCCATGCTGTGATTGTCAAACCGCCAAGATCCCCCTTTGTCCCTGGCAGGGAGGGTCCAGCAAAGCACACAGCCCCTTGCATGGCCATTGCAAGTCTTGTCTCAAGAAATCCTTCGGTGAAGTGGGCTCCTTGAAAGAAAAGCTTCAGCTATCGTGCCCATCAAAAGGGAAGGCAGCAGAAGCTTGCCGTGCAAGCCACCCAGACTCTGCTCCTGTAAAGCCATGGCTGATTTATGCCTGCTCGTCCTCACTAGCTTTGAATGATGAGTGTGTAGTGGGACAGAGCCTTTTAACAGTTAGAGACCCTCGTTAGATGTTTTCTGTCATATCAGGAGGCAGGGGAGGGTGGTTGGGAAGTGGAAGATGTGATCTGGCTTTCGAAGAGTCCCCAGCTGAAGCTTTTGGGTGGCTTGATGGCATAACAGTGACACTGCCAATGGAAAATTGGGACAGTTGTGGAACTTGGTGTGGCCTGTCTGCCTTTCCTCGGAGAGGGAAGATGAAGCGGGAAAATGTTATCTGTAAAGCCAGGGGGGAACCCAATACCCGACAACCAGAACTAAGATCTCCAGTTGGAATGCAGGTGGCTGCAGTTTAAATTACCTCTAACAGCCTGGCTGCTGATTGCTACTGTTCATGACAAGTGACTTTGTTTTAGTTCTGAAAGGTCCCAGAGCAACTGCTCTGCCCTGAGTTTTCATCTCTGAATCACTAAAATACTCTCTTTTTTGATTTTCTCTCTTGACCCTCTCCTCCCACTCACCCCTTTTGACACATATTTAGCTACACTCAAAGGGACAGCGAAGAGGTAGTTTCCTGTCCATGTTTCATACGGGCACAGCACTACTGCAAAGTGCCTGCCTTAGATTTTGGGGGGAGTCAGCTGGTGGAGGAAGGTTAGTTGGCTGAATGCTAGATAATGTGCCAGCCCTGCTAGCAGGGTACAAGGAGCAACTCGGAGGCGTAGCGACAATTTTACCTGACTTTTTTCCAGTTCTTCACATGCGCTTCTGGGTACCCTGGTCCTGTTAAACAACCACACGGCATCAGCTTGGATTCTTGCCCTGGCAGGTGGATGTTGGACTGAGCAAATGCAGCCAGCACCACCAGGATCTGTGCCTTTGCTGTCCGGAGGCGTGCAGTGGGGCACAGCACTTGCGACTGCGCCCTGTCCTCTCCGGGCAGCTCGAAGGGGAGCAGAACCACGGGGATGCAGCCGTCCGCTCTGCTACCTTTGCAGCCATTTCCTACCATCCAGGTTCCTCAGCCCAGTGCCCTTTGCAGCTGCTGCTGACCTCAACTTTTCAAATTAGCTCTGACACGGTCCCTGGTTAGGCAGTACACTGCCAGGATGATTTATAAAGCCTGACATTTTACAGGACTCTCCCTGTACTGTATTGCCGTGCTTGAGATTGTGAAGATCGTACTGCTGGGCCTCAGCAGTTGAGCTGATAAGGCCTTCTTCAAGAATTACACCCACCCCCCCAACCATTTTCCTTTTAACCATATTCCCTTTTTTTGTCTGAACCAACTAAAATCTGTTGACCTTCAAGTTGCAGTGATGCTTATTTATTCCTTGAGAAGGGAAAAGCTTGATTACAGTTAGGATCCTGGTTGCTTGGACTGGTGTTTAAGGCTGCGTTTCTTTCTCCTTCCTGATTTTTAAGAGGCTGTTAATTTTACTGTTATTTGTAATCCTTGATTGAAGTTTTAATGTAGTCCTAGATCAATAGAGATGGGCTTTCAAATGGACAGTGTAAATTATAAATCCTGCGTTAACGATAAGGTACTCTGTCCTAGGAAAATACCTGTTAGTTTCACTGCCATTTAATGGCATTCTTATTTTGGCCGTTGCATCCCATCTATCTAAATCCCATGTAGATTTTAAATCAGATGCACTTTGTGGAGCTTAGCAATAGTAACATTAATCGTTCACACAGTGCTGACAATACGTAATGATTTGAGTAGTGCATCCTTCGATGCTGTATGGTGTTAACAGTACCAATAATAAGCTTTGCCGTTGACCACATCATTTGCCTTGAAGGATCATTTGAGATAACAAAAAACAGAGATTTGCTGTGAAAGAACAGGTTGCTCACACACACAAGCACTATTTTTCTTCCCAATAAAGAAGTTATTTATTGCTACAACACCAGCGGTTTCTCCTATCACAAGGATATGTTGTTGATAATGCCTGTAGAAAGCCCCATATTTCTAGACACATACTGTGAATAATCAAAATCTGAGAAATGACTTTATTCTGAGCTAGGTAAAATTACAATGAGAAATATAAATGCAACTGCCTGTGTAATGCTCTGGGTTCATCGGTTCCAAACATTTTAAGATTTCTTTTTTTTTAACCTGCATTTCCATTTGCATCCTGTCACTGGATTGCCTATGAGCTGTCAGGTAAACTTGCTGCCTAAAATGCTGATAATACGATGAAAATTACTGATATTGTGATATGCCCCATTTTTCTGCTTTCCGGTGGTATACTGTGTTACCAACACAAAGGTTTCTGCTCGATTGTAAGCTAAGCACCAAATGACATACGCTGGCAAGGTACCTGTTCCATAGTTTTTCATGATTATGTTTCTTGTGTGTTCTTTTAAAGCCTCTCATACTACCAGCGTGTTTGCTGAGTAGCTGCAATGTTGCTTTATGCATAACCTTACAGACGTTGAGAAGTAATCAAAAAACTCTCCACCCACCACCATTAGCTGATGACCAAGCCTGGTTAATAGATTGGCTCTGATCTTGAGTGGCTGCCATAGGGTGGAATATCTGGAATATCGTTAAGTAATGAACTGGAAAATTAAAGAGTTTGCAGCTGTGTGATTGGAGAGATCTGAAAGACTGTTAGTTATAACAATCCTGTTCTGCCCATATTGTTGCAGGAAAGAGTCCTGGCTCTTCTGCAATAATCTGCTTTATGAAACACCCTTGGAAACAGCCAGTTCTCCCCAGCATCCGCATTGCTACTTGGGGGTTAAAATCAATAGGAGCTTACTGGCTAGAATCCAGTTTCTGTGCATTGCTCTGGAAAATGGAAGGGCTAGACATTGTATCAGATTAAGCTGAGTTAAAGTAGGTTGAGGCTTAAGGGTTTTTCCATCAGAACGTAAAATATTAAAGATAGGCGATTTCACCTTGTTCTCGTATTATTTCACTTCTATTTTCCTGACTCAATATTAAGCTGAATTCTAAGAATTCCTGTTGTTTACTGCACTAGCTCTCAAACTTAGCCAAGAGAATACTGAGAATGTAACATTCTTCTGTGTCTGCTTTAAAGTCCCAATTTCATTTGGTACTTGTTTTTGTTGCTAGAACATAGGCACTCATATTTATGACCATTTTGTTTTTCAGCGCCTCCCAGATGGCTCTGCCCCAAGTGCACACGCTGAATTTTATCTTCTGCCGGATCCTTGTGAGGTCAGTCGAAGGAAAACAAGAACAGCTCCAAAAAGCTCTGACCCTACTTACAATGAAATTGTGAGTACCATTCACTTTCTTCCACCATTTCTTACTTGCTTGGTTTTTCTTTACCCACTCATGAAATGAAATTACAATATGGCATTTAGAGCTGTTACCATGAGCGCGGTCAAAAAGAAGGAACATATCATAAGGTGAACAACGCATGGGGACGGTCTTCTGCTTTGCGTCTTTCTCAGAAGTGAAACAGCCTCTTCATGTCTCTCTCTTCAGAAAAGCAGTTGGATTATTCATGCTATTCTGTCTTACACTGCAGCCACGGCTAAATGTTAGCAAAGTGAGACCAAGTGCCATTGCACCAAAACCTAGGCTCTTTTGAATGCAGATTTGTGCACTAACATGAAAAGTACTAAATGAACGGATGCTGTTGTTCAAATTCACTGTTGAAAATAGGCAACCACATTGGTTGTCACTGTCCTAAATGGTAACACAATAATAAATAGCCCAGTTCTTTTTACATCAAAACGCTAGCAGTTCACAGCCATATATAATCATTTCGCACACTGCAGAAGTGCTCGCGCCTCGGGGGTGAAAAGGAACGTTCGTGTGGAGAAGCATTTATGACAGGATGGGAAGTGGCATAAACTATATTCTTTTGTAAGGGCAGATAAGATTCAAGCAGTAGGTGGGATCGGAGATTATAATTATTACGTGTAACATATCTCCTAAAGATCACAAAGCAATTTACAAATGTGCTTTGAGCAGGCTTTAAAGTACGAGGCATGGAAAATATTAGGACTCCACCCTGTTTCACAGATCAGATGCGATGAAGCTTAAGTTAGCCAGCTGAGACTAAGGGTCCTTATCTCCCAGTTTCCCAGTCCTGGAGTTTTACTATTTTTCTTTTTCTTTTCCCACATCTATTTGATGACAAAAGTTACTTACACTGATGACTTCCAGTGCTTCTCTAAGTAGGCTCCTTGAGCAGTATTGCTGCTAACAGCTGAGACAAATTTCCCTCCCTACAGTTCTGCAGTGGAATAACAGGGAACTGGGCTTTATTTTTTCGTTACGCTCTTTCCTTTTTTTGCAATCAAAGAGGCAGTGGAATGAGTCCAATTGACCTGCCTAAAGACTTTCCCTTACATTTGAAGGGTATTTAAAGCAAAGAAATAGAGTGTGGTTATACAATAACATTCCTTGTAAAATATCCCAAATGGACAACAGACAAGAAGCAGCCAGCAACGCTGGAAGACAATTATCTTTCTAATCATTATTAGATCAAGTTGAATGCAAGAAAATCCACAATCCTCTCTGCAGTCAGACAGTAGTCACTGGGAGGAGATTTAATTGTGGCTAAGGAGCATTCCACTGCTGTTAAGAGAAATTCCATGAAAACTTAATATCCTTTACTCGAAACTTACAGCCTTCTTCACAGATGCTCAATCTTTTTCACCAGGAGCTGCTAATCGCAGTGGGGACATATGGTTCCATTGAACTTGGACATTTCAAACCCGATGCTTGTGCTGTTAGCAGCTCTGTTCTTCCATATGTGATATCATTCCGTATGCATTTTCTATCCAAGGCTGGTAGACTGAGGCAGAAGCCGCCCCAGGGAAGAAAAACTACTAAAAATATAAGTCAGCTGTCTTTTAAGTTAGTTACTGTCCAAAATGCTGTGTACAGAAATGTACTAGCCTTTTTTATGAGTTCATAAGTTGTTATTAAAGCCAAATGGCTGGAAGGAAGCTGTATATTAATTTCTCCCTGTGTTTGAGACCCAGAAAATTCTGAAATGTGCTTCTCTTGGGTTTTTTTGGTTTTAGTTTTATACTTTTATTGCTTATGACTGCCTAAAGCAAATTATCAGCCTTGCAAAAGTACATTTTATTTTTGATTTTTACCCGTGTGTGTGTTAGAGTAAAGATGCGAAAGTCCAGGAGGGCTGATGATAGAATGAACTATGCCAAATGTTTTGGAGTTGCTTTTAACAAGCACTCCTTTTTTCTCTTCTTCCTTTATTTGGATTTTGGAGTTTGTTGCTTTCATACTGATACAACATTGCATTAAAAATGGTGGTTGAGGAGAAGAGGAGAAAGAACACAGAAAAATGGAACGCAGTGTAAAGGGAGAAAGGATAACATACCTGCTTTTGTAGACCACTGTTAGGAATAAATAAGACTGACTTGGGAGATTCCAGAGTAGTTTAGTGAAAACTAAGGAAGTAAAAAAATTGAAAATAAATCTGAATGATTCAAGTTTAAAATCTTGCCAAGAAAAGTCGCAATGACCAGAACCATCTGCAGCTGGGGTCTTGCTCATATGTGTAGCATTTGCCCTGAGACACGTTTCAAGGTGTCAGTTGTCCTCCGTTTGTCTCTTGAGCGCTCGCGTGCACGCGCACCCACAAAATGAGCAAGCCTCCGAGACAATGCAGAGTCTGCATTGCCAAATGAAGCCAGAACGAGAGGCTGCTCTCTCCGTCCCGCCCTTGGGGTGCGGCCACATGTGCGCAAATCTACCTGGGCCACAAGCAGAGGGGACACCGGCCTGCAACAGCCACGATATGCAAGCAAGCCTGATGGAGGGGGAGGAGGGGAGCTGCGCCGCAGCCGCTCCCTCCAGCACCGTGCGTCAAAGCTAATTTGGACAATTAAGAGCAAATCTAGGAACTGTGCCATGGCTACCTAAGGAGAAGCAACTGTCCCGCATTTGCAATTAAAATGTCATTAGATTCCTGTAGGTGAACAGTGCTTCTCTTTTTGGAGCCAGGAATACTTGAATTCCAGCCCTGTCTGTCCCACTGATTTGCTGGCTGGCCATGTGTAACTCGCCTCCATTTGATCTAGCATGTATAAATGGGAGGAAAATATTCTTACTACACAACAATGTCAGGATTTAACTGTTCTGATTATGAAATTCTGGCAGGTGGCATTTGTTTTATCCACATACTAATTCAGCCCTCTCCAGACCTTTCTCCTGTCCCCACGTCCTGATGACATATAACCTGCTCCAGCTGAATTTGCAATACCATTTTAGAAAGGGTTTATTGGGATCTTTGGAACACCACCCACCCCACACTGTAAGCTCTGTCTTTGCTCAAAGCTTAAAGGATCTTTTTGGCCAGAGATTGAAAGTTGTCTGTTACCCCAGTTCACGCCTGTTGTGATCCACCGTACTGAAGATGTCTTAGGCCCTACAGCTTACATGTACGCTTTTTGGTGATTTAAAGCAACAGCTGGGTGTCTTAAAGCAGCCAGATAGGGTGTCTGGGAGAACCAACAATTTTGTGCCTCCTGGACCACCCGTGAAGTTCAGAACCACCTTTCTGTTGCCACTCAGTGTGAGGAACGTTGCTGGGGCTGAGCCTTTATAAACTCTATCCCTGTCTGAAGGGATGTTTCTGGTATGGAGAGGACTCAGTGGTCCGGCCTACAGAGATCCAAGCTAGAGGGGGTCTGGTCTGGCTTTTCTTCTCCTGGGCAGAGCCACACGTTTAAACTGCATTCGGATTGCACAGTAAATCCAAGAGGGTTGCATGGCAAACTCCTTTTAGGCAGTTGCACTTTCCCACTCTCCCAAAGTGACAGCATGTCACCGCGTTTGCTTTTTAAACTGCACAGAGAGATTAAAATTTAAAGCATTTTACATTGCAACTAAAATGGCAAAAACATTTTCGTCCATACAAATTTTAGATTAAGTGTACTCTTAACAAAGCTTACCTTTCGGGCCTGAGACTAGCTGAGAGCATTCTTTCACATTTTATGAACCCACATGCAGTTCACTCAGCAGTTTTTGATTAATGCAGAGACCGAAACGTAGGAATCGGTTCTGAATGCAGCTCCAGATTGTTTTGTTTTTTTTTTAAATTCAGAAAATACACCACTAACGTTTCATAGTTAACCTCAGTGTGTTCTCACAGTATTACGGTAATTTCGAGGATATTTTAAAAACAATAGGCCTTAAGAGATGCTAAGCAAGTTGTCTCATTTAATTTGAGAAGTACTAACAACACTTACTGAGTAACAGAAACATCCAAATTTAGTAAGTAAGTTCCACTTGCTAAATTGGGTCCAATCTCAGACATTTTCCACATCTACAACTTTTACTGAGTGGGCTGAACTTTCTGTCCTGTTTAATATTTGATGACTCCATTAAAAAAAACAAGTATTTTTATAATTGGCACATTTGGATACAGTTAGCATCCAGAATCATGCATAAAGCTATTTGTATTGAAATAGTAAAATTTATACAGACAATTTTCAAAGGAAAATTATTATCTCTTTTATGATGTGGGATTGTTGGATGTAGAACAGTTATGAACTTTTATGGAAGTCTTGGTTGGATGAAAATTTGGGTTTCCTTTGGCTTGATCTTTTTTAATTCTGGTGTGTAGCACAAGATTTAATCACAAATACAGTACTGAGAAAAAATTCTGAGGTACTGTGCATTGATATGAAATACCGTTATGAGACATCAATGCAACATGAAGTTGCTTTAAGGCACTACTAAGCAACACGTAACAAATGCAATATACATAGATTTTAAAAAAAATTGACATCAAACCTGTTTTTGTTCTGATTTTTGCCAAAGAGCAATACCATTTATCAAAGCGTCTGCTATGGAAACATATTTAAAAATCATAAAAATCTACACTTTTACAGCATTACCCATCTTATATTTTCATGCTGCTGTCCGTGATGAGTACCCCCCATCTGAATTTCTCTTCCAGAAAGTCAACCTTGCCATTCTCTGGTGAACTTCATGGAGGATCTGATATTTCTTCACATTTGCACTCAAAACTCTGCTTAAGTTAGAGTTTCGATTTTCACGGGGAAAATTATGTATACCTATTTTTTTTCTCAGGCACTGCACAACATAGGTTTCAAATTTATTTACAAATGCTTGGTAATCAGATTTCATAAGCCTAAGCTGGCAGAATCTTTATATAAACTACATAGGGTCTAATGTATTTCTGAGGTAAATTCACTAAGTTGAGTGCATTTGGCTCACGGTTAGTAGTTTATAATTCTGGAGGGCGGTTTAAAGCAATTATTACAAAGCTGTAGTCATCATCCTTAATGCTGCATTGAAGTAAGTGTTTTGCCTGTCAGAAGGATTCACAAATTCATATGGGTTGTTTTGGTTTTTTTCTTTCTGTTTGACTGTATATTATTTCAGGTTGTGTACGACAACGTCACGGAGCTCAAAGGCCGTATACTGAAGCTTGTTGTGAAAAGCAAAGCAACGTTTGTGGGAGCTGTTAACATTCAACTGAGCAGTGTCCACTTGAATGAAGAAAAGTGGTATCCACTGGGAAACAGCATAATTTAAATGTCGTCTAAGATAATTCAATTATTTATCCACTAATGTTTCTTTATCCCATTTCCCATGGTAGATTTTGTCTCAGTTGCCCTTGAGAATATGCAGTCATCTGCTGATCACATACCTTAACATTTCTAATCATAAGGCTATTGTCTTAAAATTGCTATCATCTTCCTGCAACTGATTCCTGTCAGTGTGAGTTTCAGAAATCACATGCTAAGACCTTGTAGCAGCATGCAGGAAATCCTTATAACAGCAATAAAGATTTTTGTTTTGTTCGTATTAAATAGTACTGTAAAAATACTAAATTCTGTACACATGGAAGTGTGGGGTCTAATTCTTTGCCCATTAATTCCATTGACTGTGTTGAAACAATGCTTACTACGGTGTAATCTTATCAGCATCTACTATGACCCCACTGCATATGATGATTTCACCACCGAACTGTGGGATGGTTCCCTCGATGCCAATACATTTCAGATGTCTAGCAACTGTCTTGTTAATTCTTATACAATCAATAAAAAAAAAAAAAAAAAGAACTTTAAAAGCTTTGCACTTCACACATTTTGTGCAGTATATGTTGGTGTGCTTTTCACTCCTGGTATAATGTAACATTCAATCCGGGATGTTCATTTGTCAGTAAGATATGTCACTTTCTTTTATTCTGACATCCAAGAAGCAGACCTAAATGGTCATTTGTGAGAAGAAAGGAGGAGGGAGAAGCTAATATCCATGAATAAATAAAACATACTGAATGTGAGCTTCCAGTGTGGTATTTATTTAAGATCATGCTGTAAGGAATCTCTGTTCACTAATCTTACCACATTACATTCTTATGCGTCATAAGGGAATCAAGTCAATACATGAATTGACCTCAGGGCTATAAAATGTATATGTACATATTAAACAATGAATGTGAGTGGTTCCTTTGAGTTCACTGAGGCTAATTTTGGGCTCTGTTCTTCAAAGCATTTTTACCTAAATTGAGGAAGCACTTAAGCACATCTTGAAACATTTAGCATGTGAGCAGCCATAATGACCTGTCCATTATTGCCAGCCTCTTACACACACATTGCTGACCATGTGTATATATATATATATATATACACACACACACCTTCCCAGGACCAAGGGCACATTTTTAAGGAACAGGAGATGTGCTGATCTGTGGTCTGATCTACTGTAAAATCTGAAGTTACCATATACTGAGTAGGTCTGACAGTTGTCCTACCAGGTGGAAAAGTGGTCAACAGAGGGGTTATAAAGCCAGAAGCTGAAGATAATTGCCTCTGCTCCCAAAGGACGCTCACAAATCAGTCTTCAGAAGGTAATGTTGTATAAAGCTCGTGAAGTGGGACTAGGAGTGTTACTTAGGAAGCTAAATAAGCTGGAGTTTTTCTCAGCATCAAACCAATTGACTATGTCACTTGGTCAGTTTTTATCTGAGAATAGATACACCAGATTGCCTGGGGAAATTAAACTCCTCCTCAGTAAGTGGAGGTGGGGGAACTCTGCTTGAGTATTAATATTATTAGCATTCTTCAGAGCTGAAAACAGCTATAAAATATTTACCACATGAAAGGGATATTGGCTAGCATACAGATATGATCACTACAAAGATCAGTAAATCTAACATTTTAGATTATAGGCTCTCCTGGGTAAAGAATCAAGTGACTTGTCACTCAAGCACAGAAAGCACATTGAGGCCAGCTTACAATGTTATCAAATTACCTGACCTTACAGTTCAACATTGATTTTAGATTCTTCTTAGTCTACTGTCTTGGTTTCCTTATTATAACTATAATGCAATTCTCTAATAGTGTTATTTCCTGTGACATTTTCTAATCATTGTTTACCGCATGCCCCGATTTTCCATCTTAGTGCAACATTAAATAAAATAGCATTAAAATGGCATTAAATAAAAAGAGCATTAAAACATAATATTATCAGAACTGTCTGCAAACATAAGCAATACTGTTTGGTATTAAAGAAACCTATCCATATAACATTTTTTTTTTTTTTTTTTTAATAAAAAAACCCCAATGCTTGAGTAACAAATCTGCAATTAACTGGGTAGATACAGTCCGGTGGAAGCTCAACAATACTTCAGTTTTGTAAGAAAGATGGGAAAATTGTATCTTATGGGAAAGATCTACGCCGATAGCTATGTCAGGAAAGAAGTTGTCCTCAGAGGTTTTAAATCACACAATCAACCCTTGCCTTTTCTAAAATTCTTCTAGTCCACCTCAGAGCATTGTGCTTCCTATTCCGTGAGTTCACAGTACGATGTATCCTGAGCTCCCTGCCGCCATGAGGAACAGAGCCCTTTACAAATCAGTCTCTGAATTATTTCTCTGTCTTTAGCAGCAGGAGGTTCAACACTAAGCTAAGAAAAGGTGCCGATATTAGCATCTGAGGTTTTATCATTTTAAGAGCTGGGTTTTTTCCCCAGATTATTTTCCCAAGTAGCAAATTTACAGTGGACATTAAAGAGGTATAACCCAATCAGAAGGTGCTGTTATAAATTTAAAGCATACAGTGTATGTGTGATTTTTCCTGTTCCCTTGGAAAGATACAATGGTAAGAAATTTTGTTCAGTACAAATAAAAAAGTCAACATAACATGCTTATAATTTTGCAGTCTTAGGTCATAAATATTAGAATATTATTCTCACTCGGTAATTAATCATGATTTTGAAGTTAGCTGCAAATGAAATTATTAAGTGAATTTTAAAAAAAGTCCAAAAAAAGTTCAGTCCTTATGAATTAGTTCTAAATAACGATAGGGCCAATGTCAGTAGCCATTACTTATCCAGGATACCTTTTACTCACACAAGAAGTTCCATTAGCTTAATAAAATCATTGAGAATGTGCCACTCTGGAAATCAGACCACTGAGTTGTTGCAAGCCTAGTGATGTTGCTTTATTGAGCAGGGTGTGATCCTCCAGAACAACTGCTACTGCAGAGCATTGTTAGTAGTACCAGACATGAACAAACAGTGATGCAGGTTTGAGATTGCCACCATCTTTGGACAACAGGGGAACGTTGCGGTAACCTGTGAATATAATGGCACTTTATTAGTGTATTAACCATGAATTCAAAGATTATAATGGAGCGGTTTTATCATCTACTATGCAAATACGGCAGAATTTATGGTTCTCTAAATAACTCTTTAAAAGAAACTGAAATGATACAGAACCCCAATCCCCTTTCTACTGATTTTCTCTTCTATATATGGAGTATTTAGATTCTGGCATTTTTAGACACAGAGTGAAAAACTCCAGTGTCTTTCAGGAGGTGGTGTTTTTCCAAACTGATGACTTTTAGCCCAGTGATATTTAAAGATGGGGGAAGCATGCATTTTAACATCCACAGATGTTATGTGTTGAACACATTGTTCTGATTGATTGATAGCAAATTAAATAACCTGTGACTCAACAGTGATAGTGCCTTAGCGAAGAATGGTGTTGCAGCAGTAATGCACTGTCCAGCTGGGGCAGAAAAAAAGCGTAGCATAAGATTTTCTACAATGACATCTTAAGTCTGTTAAGGATCACCTTTTACATGTGAGTGATTCACGGTATTGGAGATAAGACATGCCTCAGAAACTACGTGTTAATCTGGTTGCTGAAGGATTTGGAGAAACTATAGTTCTCAACTTCAAACTTAATTAACTTACCTGCTCCAAAAACAAAACCACCCCCTCTCCAAAACCCCAAACCTGTATTGCTTTATATGAATGTAAATGTCCATTATTTCATAATAATAAACATCACTTTTGATTAAGAAAAATGTTCTGTGTTTTATGTATGTATATATAACTGCAGTTATTTAAGTATCTGTTATGAGAAGCGTCTATGTTCAGAACTGCAGTTTTCAAAATCCTTTTTTAGGCGAGTCTGGATGTGTGTGTAGTCTTTGGGACCCTCATTTATTTGGTTTTGTATTTTCTTGATTCTTTTATATGACATGAAAGTTCACCTGGCATCTAAGGTTCAGCTTCTGGGCAGCAGATATTAAAGCTGAGTCCAGGCAATATACATTTGAGATCAACTTTTAGAGCATGCACACAGTATGTGGAAGACTTGCTTTGTTTCCTGTCCAAAGATACACTTCAAGGACTAAGACTCATTTCTGAAGACTGTGTTCAGGCCCCTACCTACAGAACGTTCTGCAAAGTGTCCTGAGAGAAGTAAAACTTCTTTTTTATTGAAATTATTCCTGTTTGTGTGAAATAATTAAATATTCATTGATGCAGTGATAACAGCAGTAATAATTGAATTCCCGTCCTGTATTAGTATTCTATGTGGCAGAATCATTGGGACAGGGACTGTAACCCAGGAGCCCCCTCTCCTCTTGCCTTTAACCACTCAGCTAGAGAGCTAGAGAGCACCTTCAGCCCCTCTGACTATACCTACTTGATCATTGCTTGAAAACTCAAATCCTGCTACAGATGGGCAGCAAGCCTTCTTCCCCAGTGTTATCTACAGCTGAGTTGTGAGGCTGCTGCTGGGGAAAGGCAGGCAGCAATGAGAAATATTTGATTCCTTTCAAGAGAAAATGCAGGGGAGGGCGGCAATGGCACAACTTTGTCCCACTGCCTGTCAAAGAAAAAAAAAAGATGTAAGCACTGCTCAGCTTTTGGAAGCAACTTGCCCTCAGGAGACGCCTCAGGGATACAATCCCTGGGGAAGGAGGGACAGTCCTGTAGCACAGATTAAAGCGATTGGAGCTCTGAAGAGTAAGATTTAAATCCTAACTCACTCTTAAGCATGGTTTAGAAAGTTCTTGCCTAAGAAATCTAGATTGTTGTCACTGGCTCTGTAAGACACATTATTTTGCCCTTTACCTATTTAGGGAGCTTAGGTACCTAAAGCAAGACCATGGTTCCAGACCTGGAATCCAGAGGTCTCAATGTTAAGCATTGCAATACATTTTGAAAATAAAAAAATTTTGAAATTAAAAAAATTTCATCTCTTGGAAGCATTTTGTCTATGTCTCTGGGCATC